TAGGTGGCAGAGCAAATTAGCCAAGTTTAAAAAAAATACTTGCAGACACAATGCTGTTTTGGCCATTATTTAAATCTTTTTTCTCTCCCTACTAAGTTAGAGGTGAACAAAAACGGCTCAAGGAGTAAAGGTGCTCGCCATGCAAACTTGATGACCTGAGTTCAATCCCTGGAAATCGGTGAAGACCGTGGAAGGAGAAGCGACCCCTGAAGTCTCTTCTCTGACCTCTACAGAAGACGTGTCCCATGCAAATGCACTGTGTACCATACACACAGAAGAGCATACGTACTAAGGAATAAAGCAACAATGAAGAGTCCCAAGTCAGTGGGGTATTGAGATGCATGCTTATAATCCTAGCACTTGGGAGGCTGGGCAGGAGAACTGAAGCCAACCATGTCTACAGAGAGGCCTTGCCTCGAAAATCAACCCAACTCAAATAAAATGAGTGCACTGCCCTAGTTACATTAAACAAATGACTATTTGAGCCAGGTGTGGTGGTGTACTCTGGAGGCTACTTAGAGCCTTTGGAAGCACACTCTCACCAAATGAGTATGATGCACGTACAATTAAAAAAAAAGGTGGGGGTACAATCTTGACTTACACACCAAATTTCTAGAGTTTAACTCAAAACACAGTTGTAACCCTCCTTTCAAAAGGCCCAGGACTCACCCCCCACACCTGCTACCTTTCCAGACCTCGAGGGTATTTCCCTCTTTGTCTTTGGCTGCCACCATGCCGGACAGACTAAAGAAGGCCTGGAAAGTTTGGGGCCAGACATCAGTAAGCACTGCAAGCACCCAGGAGCCCAAGAGAATGCTGGCAGCATGCATCCCCCCACAGGACCAACATATACTATTCAGGTGACTCTGGAGAGCTGGTCTGAGGCATTACCCTCAACAAGAATCCAGAGCTCCTGCCCAAGTGTCAGTGCACAGACACGGGTCAATGCTACAAACATCCAGACTGCAGAGCTCCCACGACTGTTGTGCTACTACAAAGTTCTGGGGAAGGCAGAGCCCCCAAAGCAGCCTATCATCACGAAGACCAAACTCATCAGCAGACGAGCTAAAGATTAAGGGGTATTGGAGGTACCTATGTCCTGGTAGCCTGAGGCCCACACATGCCGCCATAACCAACCAAACAAAACAAAAACAAACAAAAAAAGCACCAGGACTAAGACAAGGAAAAGGAATGTGCATTTGAATCCCTTTCAACAAACAGCATCATTTGATCAGCAACTAGGATATTCCTGGAGCAGAGGGGCCTTGAGGAGATCTCCAAGGAAGACAATCAAAGGAAGTGACTCCAGAAGAGAGTCATGTCTAGGAAAAAATACACACAACCACCATTCGGAAAAAAAACACACAACCCCCTTTTAAAAATTTATATGAACAAGTTTTTTTTTTTTTTTTTTTTTTTTTAGGTTTGAAATTGAGCATACATTCTGTTATTAGTCTGCATTGATGTTATTCACGTAGAAGATCGGAGCACCCTGGGGTGCAGCATAAAAGTGCTTGCCTGCCTCATGAAGACTCAGGTTCTGCCCCAGTCCACCAAATAGGAGCAGAGCAAATCAAATCAATGCACAATATGCCCAACAACAGAAGAGCCCTTTCTTTTCTACCATTAAGCAGGGGGTGGGGGAGATCTGGCTACAATTTTTTATTTGGTAAGAGGGGTGGGGCTCGATAGACCATTTGTTTCTATACACCTGAAAGCCATGTTTTAACACAAAACAAGACAATACCTCATTTACCAAGCTCAGGTCTGAGTCAAAACAGTATCTACTTGTGGTTTTGGTTTGAATAAAGCTAACAGAAGTGTGAACTAAAAAATAAAACAAAGCATACAATTCAGGCCAAAGGGCAACTTATTTTCATTGCACTATTCATTTTTATTAGAATTAAAAGGGGCAAGAGATCCAAATGTATGTGCAATGCCTTTAGAAAATAATTCACCGTTCTGTTCAAGTGCACACAAGCACACTAGAGCTGCACGGTTCAGCCTACAGTGTGTGCAATACTGATTGGTCCTTTCATGTGTCAGTTACTACTTGGAGCTGCTGATCATTTGCTGCCACCTTGAATGCAGCCAGAATTAACATTATGCAGAGCTTTAAAATATTTGTCTGTGTAGAGAAAAAAAGAGGTGCTAATTAGAAAATACAAAATTTTTATTCCAGAATTTACCCGAGCCACGAAACATTTTCAATTATCATTTTACTAGTTTAACAAGATGCAGGGGATGCCAATGAGCGACATGGATGACAAAGCTCAGGAAGCCAGGTCCAGTCCGTGGCTAGCTGTCCACCAGAGTAGGGATGGGGTAAGCTCAATTCTGTAGCAATGCAGTCCTGAGAAATTCTTACCATATTTTCACTTTTGCTGAATGAGCCCTAAACTTACATTCTGTGTCAATAAGTACCCCCTGAAGTCATATACTTAATGAAGCTTCTCAAAATTTGAAATTTTAGAGATGGGATGAAATGTATACAGCTGCTAACCCTTTGGAAATGGCTTTTATATAAAAAGTCTCCCTACTAAGACACAAAGATAATCATATCTAAAAGTCAATCCTCACAAACTCAAAGGGTAGTCCACCTCTATTACGTGCAATGTGAGGGTTTAAGAAAACACCAGAATTTGATTCAGTAAAATAAACAAGATTCTTATAGAATACAATTATAAATGTACCGAAAACCAACAGTGCCATCTGCTGACATAGAGGGCAATGCAAGTTGCTTTGAAAGCCAGCAGTGTGAAAGCGCCCAGAGTACACAGGCCACGTGGACTGCACACGGGAATCTACAGTCCAGAGAGCTGCTGCAGATTAGTGGGAGCCATACTCACCACCTTCCCTCCCAAACATCAACTATGGGATATTTCTCTAATATGTGAGACAAATTAGTGCTGGGTTGCAAACAGATTAATCTAAAATAAATCTGCCAAACATAACCACACTAAATTCCAAATCTTCCCTGCGGACTGCACTACACATTTATAAGTAAACCAATTAGGTCACTGGAAGGGAGATGGGGGACAGTCGAAAGAAATCAGCCAACTGTGCCACTGTGCTGTTTGTTTTTTTATTGTGTTTTCAATGGAGAAATACATCATCTGTTTACAAAATAGCTCTTGAAAAATACAAGGAGTACAGATACTATAAAACAAAGCAAACTTCAGTCATGAGACACTACTTACATCATGCGAAAGCAACAGTCTGATCTCCAGGTTATGAAAACTAGAATTAAAAAGTCACTACACAGAAAAGATCCACGGCTCCAGCCTGGTGAAACTTGGATGCAGTTACATGGAACGTTTATTAAACTGAATTTTTCCCCAATGTGTAAACAAAACGACAAGACTAATTCTGTGCCTGGTGATGTCATTCTAACTCTGGCTACACACATGGACACCGATTCATGTCACCTGTTAGCAGACCGTCTTCTTTACTCAAGTGATTGAAGGAAGGGCAAGGTGACTGCAGAGCAAAAGGTGGAGAGTATAAATACTGCTTATAAACAATGTAAGTGATAAAAAGAAAGCCTTAATTAATGCATAGCTTAAGGGGAAAGACTATTCTCCAACTTTGGAAATTAATTGAGAAGGACAGGGAAGAGTTTAAGTAATTGCAGTTTAACATGAGAATGCTCAAACGTGTGATAGAATGCAGCGAGACAGAGGATTTAAAAACCCATGCTCACATAAAGATCTGATGCTACTGGTTTGCTTTATCCAGATTAACAAAGAATAAGTTTATCAACATCTGGCATCCCTCAGACGTCACAAAAAATGACGAGAATTCTGCTACTTAATTATGAGAAATTATTGTCTTTAAATGAGGTTTCTAATTTTTTGATTGAACAAAAAAATTCAAAATGGAGAGCTGACTAAAAGTCAAGTGCTTCCTAGAAATGATTTTTAAAATGTTTCTGTATGTAAAATTCACTGACAAATTTTGATAAACTGGTTAAATTAAAAATTACTTTAAAATCTGGAAGAAAATGCCTTTTTGTCCACTTTTAAAATTGTAAATCAATTTGTCTAAGACAGAGTTCTGTGGAGTGTACAAAAATCCTCTTAAGGATCAAATGGCAATCCTTGTGAGATGCTTCACAGGTATGGCTTTCAGTCATTCTCAAGTTCCAGCCATGGGACCAAAGGTAGTGTTTTGTTCCATGTAGCTAAAGGGTCACCAGTTTCACGTCACAGCTTAGGAAAATACTGGCATTCTGGTTTCTGCGTAACAAGCCTTACCTTGTGTATACAAGCAAAGGGGGAAAAAGAAAGGCAAAGGGGGGAAGAGGAAGCACTTTCGTTGTTTTGAAGAGAAGAAACTGAAGGCAAAACAGAGCTCCAGAAAGCTCAAGGAACAGACTGTTGGCACACTGCTGATCTGTATGCACTATAAAACACCTCTATAAATAAAAGGAATATATATTTGTTAATCATAACCCCATCAAAGCCAAATGTCTCCTAATTTTTCTTTCAGTGTCCAAAGTATATTTTAGCATTGACAATTTACCCTAAGGGTCACAATGCCTCTTCAGGATGG